TAATATTAATCTTACGTTAAACAACTGCATACGCTATGCTAGGCATATTATAAACCTTGTTGTTAAGGCGATATTATATAGTAAAGGCGTAAGCTAGTTTAAATCCTAGCTTGTAGAGGCGTCCCTAGCTTAACAATATAAGCTTTTTTAATTCTATAGGGTTGTTAGTAAGCTATATAACTTTGTTAACGCTATTTACGCCTCTTATAAGCGTTATAAGTTATTTCTATTACTCTAGAAAGAACTACGCAATAATAACAACCTATATACGTATAACACGCTTTAATTACGTTAAGATAGAGGCGTCTGCTAGTACTTAGTGTACTATATGCTCCTCTGTTGCCTAGAGCTTTATAACTTAATTACTCGCTTTATAATAAGACTACAACAACAAGCTTTGTAAGGCTACAACAACAAGTATAACCTACTTAATAACAAGATCTCTAGCAAGGAGTAGGAGGGCGTATAATAGCTTATTAACTTTCTATAAGCACTTATTAAGATAACAAAGCGCCTAGAGAGTAATAACAGTACGTCTAGCTTTAGGTTATTGTAGCAAACTGTAAGGAGCAGTTTAGCAGGCACTAAGATATTAGTATAGGCTTATATTAAGACGAATCCTTAAGAAGCTATTAAGCCTCTTAGAGGGATAATATATATCTACGTCACGTAATCGTAGCTAGTGTAGGCTGACGGTGCCCTGAAGGGTTCCTAGTAGCTTACTAGTCTATAGCTAGAATCCTATAATAATAGAACATTGTAACACAAACCTTAATAAGCTTGTAAGCTTTATAGACTCTCTATAGCTCTACTAAAGCTAAGTTTAACAACAATAGTAATAACAGCAATTACTTTGTAGCTGCTATAAAATATAGCCTTAAGAAGCTTACCTTATACTTTAAAAAGCTAATTATACAACCCTAAATTAGCTATTACGTTATTGCAACTGCTCTCTATCCCGCCCTACGCCTTGCCTAGTTTTAAACCTACTAGAAGTAGTACGCTAATTAGGTAAAGCGCGCAAAAGACTCTATAATAAAGGTTTTTAAGCTCTATATAGCAGCAGAGGTAGACGACAACAATACAGCGTTGCCGCTGCCGCGTCGCAAGGTACCTAGCAGCAACGCTAACCTCTACAGCTAAACAATAGCTATTAATCTTATATTTCTTACTAGCTTAAAGTCTTAAAAGCGTTAAAAGCGTGCAAGCTAGCTAGAGGAGTACTTTAACAACCTCCGTAAGGACCTTACAAACGCTAGCGAACAACAACTCACTCTTCTCTACAATCCTTAGCGCTAGTGGCTTAAAATCAGACGCTAGAAGTACCTAGTAGTCTTTAAGATTGCTACTAACTACCTCTCTATCCCCGCTACTAGTTGCGAGTGTGAGCGTATCTTCTTAACCACTAAACAGACAGTTATAAGCAATCGAAACCGCCTTAGCGCAGCTACAATAGAGGCTCTACAACTTTAGAAGAACTAGTTACGTTACAGCGTTGTTAAAAGCGAAGTTTTGAAGCTACAACAACACGTACAACGCTAGGATAGCAAGCAAGGCAGCGGCAACAGCAGGGTCGCTAGCAGCAGCAGCAATATAGCCAGCAACAACAGCTGCCTAGGCGACGACGCTGGCTAAAAGCTCTATCCTCAACACCACGATACCGATCGTGGGTTTCGAGAAACCGCACAACAGTCCACAACCCTACCACCAGCTCGATCGGTGGTGGGTTATACAGCTGCCTAGGCGACGACGTTAGCCGAAAAATCTATCCTCAACACCACGATACAGCTCCCCGAGCGCCTACAGCAGCTTCAATTTACAAAACAAGCTTAGCAGTTTCCTAATTAGGCAATTATACGGTCCGTATGTGGTCTAAGCGAACGTACTACGGCTACGGCTCGTACTTAGAGCTTTTTTTGGACATACAGTACGTACAACACCAGAAATCGACCCGTACGTACCTCACGATAGCTTCAACCGTACAGTATTACGTCCCGTTGGAAACGCTGTTAGGCGCCACGATCGCCAAACAACCCACCTCTTCTCTCCTGCGCAATCGCACATCACGTACAAGGTATTGAGGCCAGCTCGTTGTTCAAACACCGATTTCGTTTTGCTAAACAAGGAAAAATGACTAACTGATGGCCTTGAGCAGGCCGATCGCCCACATCCACGACGAGTGACCAGACTAGCTTAGTAATTCTAGATCCGGTCAAATTGCAATGTGAACTTCTCCCAACCTATAGAGCACCGCTGCGAAGCACAATCTTTCGCGACTACGCTTCCTATATCGAGCCCCTCACCGAAGGGGCTAAAAGAAATTTGAGTCCAAAGAATAGTCGATGCGCGTCTCATCCCTTTCGCCATCACCTCTAGTGACTGGACGTAGCCTATGCAGCCCTGAATGAGTCAATTCAAGAAATGTGAATCCATGCAGCAAGCTTACTCAGAACTTACCTCTCCTTCGAGAAACACTTTTAAGATCCGCAACTGCCTGATGACGACTGATAATCGGCAGGCGATCCTTGACCTCGGACGGCGGGTAACGTAGACAAGCAGTTCATCCACTGCTTGCTGGACGAGCGAAGCCTTCTCAGAGACATATGCCCAGTCGATTGTAGTCCAATCTTCCTGATTAGCGCCGACTGCAGACTGGATATATTCTTGAAATGTCTTTATGCGCCTCAACACGTCGAATCAAGACGAGATGGCGCCGCGAGCGCACGCCTGAGGCTACCGGGATGAGGAAGAAAGGTAATTCATCGTTGACGATGGATCGAGCCATTCTATCATGACCAGAGAGAGAGGCACGCTCGCCCGTTTTGTGTTAAAGATTGTTTGTGGAATGGCCTTTGCTACAGAGCACGAGAATCATGTCGCTCGTGGATCCGCCACGCCCACACCACTACTGCGTATTCTTAGCTGACTCATCGACCATCGAAGGCTATCGAAAAGCTTTCATTTGCTAGAAAGTGGTCATGTTTCGTGAATGAGACAATTCAATTAGCGACACGCGCATGTGACACTAAGCAAGAATCTCGATAGTCAATGGTATACACTTGATACCTCGCCTGCTTTCAACTCCATACTACAGGTAGAACTCTTTCAAACTTCATTGTGATGCAGTTGCAACTCCAGGAACGAGTGGCGTCTGATTCCTGTCGTCGTAGAATGCGAGTTGCACGAAGATACAACCACATACACATCGTGACAGCATCTGCTACAGGGGTTACTATTCCTATTCTTAATTGCCGTTAGAAGATTTCGTATTCTGCCAGTACGTTCGTGTAGTCGCCTTCCCAGTCCTCAAATATATTGTTGACATTCCATCTGTCTTGATCACCTATGTTTCCATCTTTAGTTATCTCAGCAGTCTATCCGCCACTGATCAATGACCCGTGCTTGATGTGTATTTCCAACCACGTTCCATCACGAGAGCAGCGTATCGAGCGCTTGCAGCGATTCCACATGCTCTCAGCTTTCTCAAGACGCTCAAGTGTGACACGCTGTTGGATGTTAGTGCAGCCAGTCTGGTCGATGTTTTGGATTGTCTTGAGACATACACCAGCAGTCTTATCTCGACGCCTCTGAACAGCTTCAGCCTTTTCCTTAGCTGCGTCTTCCGCCTGGAACCTCTCTAGTACTCAGAGATGGCGCTTCTGCCATGGCGCCCGCCATTTGATGTGACGCCAATGCATGCTGTACGCCGCAGCAAGGGCGCCAGGTCCGTGAGTGTTCTTGGTGTTTTACTTTGGAGAATAATGTGAGTGTATTGGATTCGTCAGTGGGTAGAGGAACCAGTACATGGATTACACTATGGCGAGGTTGGCTCGCACGCGTATGCATACCCTCGTTAGTTGATAATGAAAATAGAGAAACAACCGAGATTTCCTAGAGACTGGCGGTGAATGTGAGTTCCTGCTTGACACTATGGCTGATTTGGGTCGTTGGGTTCTTTCACTAACAGTGGCGAATCAGAAACAGTGCTCTTTCTCAAGCGAATGTAAGGTAGCTGAGAGCTTTCAGTGTTCGTTCGCTTCACCCACTACTCCTCCTAAGACATCTCATATTATACCCCAGATTTCTAGCGCAATTCTTCAATTTTCTCAATCGCGTTCAGCCAAAGAACATGAATATAACTCATCGCATTGACGAGGCTTCGTCATCTCCATCTTCGTCAACGGTTCCGCAGTGGGTGGAGCATTTCAAGTATACACGGTTTGTGGACCCTGATTTTGGCAACCGGCTCTCCGAAGCGCGTAACCTCATGCACACGCAAGCACCTCTTACCCCTGTTGTCACTTATCAAGAGCAAAGAACAGCAGCAGGCTCGATTGCGTCAGAAGTTGCACACTCAATGCGTCAGGCCGCGTTGATTCCGCCTGGCGCGCCAAAACATGGGTGGGAAAAGGGATCATACAGATCACCTTTTGACTATCGTATCGTCGGCTACTCAGGCGGAGACAAATGCACAGCCTCTGATAGACTACCCCCGTATGCTTCACCCGACGGTATGACTCCTTTCACTGGGTCAGGCAGCATGGCAGTAGCTCACAATCGTGCGACTCGAGATACACCAGTGTTTGACGGGATGGATCCTAATTCTGAATGAGCTCCGCCTTGTCGTGCAGTTACGCCTGGATCTGATGTAAGCCTCAACCAATCTCTTTATTTCTCAAGCTGCGCAACTAATTGCCCTCAAGGCCAAGGAGCGTCATATCTTTCTCGGCCCTCTCCGGATAATCCGCGAAACAGGGTCTGCTCTCTGTCTAGATGACCGCGAAAGGCTCTTAACCTTTATTGATAGCTATATGGCGGAATCTCTGCACACGGTTGTAGAACACGATGGCATTCTTCCGAACGTTGTCTGTAAGTGGCCTGTATGACTTGCGTATGGAACGCCCATTGACTTCTCCCACCTACGTCTAGACACAATTGGTATCCCCATGACAGACGCCAACTGGGCCAAGTACAAACAACTCCTCGCTGTCTTCGGATTTGCCAGCGGCATGGATGCCATGCTTGCTGTCGGGTCTGACAAGTTCGACAACTATACCTATGTCGTCGATAGTACGAGTGCAGAGCATGTGGAGGGTTGGAAGGCTCTAGCGAGTGCGAGTGAGAGAGACCTTGATATGGCTATACTTCCACAAGAGCTAATACAGATCTGGAAAGGGATGTGTGTTGAAGGTGGGGCTGGCTATCCGGGTACCTCAAAGAATTTTGAGCAGTAGCGAGATGAAACGAAGGTCGCCATGCGCCCTATGAGGAGGAAAAGGTAGATATTCATTGGAATATATCATACCTGGCCCTAGTACGAGTATGTGTTAAGCGTTGCAATGTAGACATAAAGCATCTAGAAGCTTAGAGTTCATTCAGTCTCTATGGAGCTTTGTTTCAGAAGTTAATGTAGGCTTGATGGTGAGGTATACTGTCTCTATGCCCGCTTTATTCTTGTCTTGTATGTGGTGATAACGTCAACGGATTGAAATTTCTGCATTAGCAAGCATATGTTGAGAAGTCTGGTGATCTCTCGATCGAGAAGAATAAAGTCAGGAGTCCACAAGTAACAGAGACATAGCCTACCAGGTGGCATTAACGAAGCTAGTATTGCCTGGTATATAGACCATCGAGCCTCTCAAGATCTCAGTGTGCCAATAATATACGAGAGATGTATGCAGTGGTTACTTGACTGGCGCCTTGAGCGATGACCTGAGTGGCGGAGATGAACGGTAAGAAGCCAGGAGCCGCGTCGAAGTGTCTTGTGGAGTTAAGGAAAGAAAAGGAAAAAGTAGACGCGCACAAACCGGATCAGCTGCAACATCAATACACTGTTCTCGCTTCTCCAAAAACGCAGGGCGTGTTGAGGTGTTGGAAGTGAGAAACGAAAAGAAGAGTTCATGTGTGACAGCACAAGGCGGAAGACTGTGAAGATCCAACGACCCACAAAAAGACTCAGCCACATGCCTGCGCCACACTTTTGCCATCTCTATTAGCGCGACGAACACCGTCATCCAGAAACCCTGTGCTTCTATCGCTCCGCGTCGCCCTTCTTTCCAACTTCCAAGATCCGGGCTTCTCTCCCCATATCGCTATCATGCTACGATGACGTTCGTTATTTCGCAAATTGCCAACACTGCCACACACGTACGCATTGCTGTCGCGCATCAGCCGATCCAGTCCAAACGCTTCGCGCACCGTCCTCCGCTATCTGTTACGCTATCGCACGTCGCCGCCTTCACGCTCCCCTCCACCTAAAACCGGCCCTCGTCCCCCCTTGCGCGGCCCCTCCGACTCACGCAAGAACATGTCGTGACCATGGACGACTCCACCATACTCAAGCACGCCCAGCGATTGCGCCGCTCACGTTACTCGGCACGACCCTTCGCCCTCACCATCCTCGCCATCTCCCTCATATCGCTGTTAGCATGGGCCAAGTCGCAAGCTGCAGACGGCAACGCCATAGTTGGCGCATTGCAGAAGAGGGACCTGTCCATCAAGGACGAGGAGTGTCGCCTCGTTCACCACGCCAGAGACCAATGCGCCTTTGTGCGCGCAAACTGCCCCGATGAAGAAGCCGGCGTCATATCCTACCTGACCCTCTATTACTGTCGCCTCCCGCATGCGAAGCCCTTTGCCTTCGTCCTCATGACGCTTTGGCTCGCCCTTCTCTTCAGCACCATTGGCATCGCCGCGAGCGACTTCTTCTGCGTCAACCTCAATACAATTGCGCGCATGCTGGGCATGAGCGAGAGCTTGGCTGGCGTGACACTGCTTGCCTTTGGCAATGGCAGTCCCGATGTCTTCTCTACCTTTGCCGCCTTCCGCACTCACGCTGCGAGTTTGGCTGTAGGCGAGCTTATCGGTGCTGCATGTTTCATCACGGCCGTTGTCTCGGGCTCCATGGCTCTGATTCGCCCATTCCAGGTCGCGCGCAAGAGCTTCGTTCGCGACGTCGGCTTCTTTCTCGTCGCGGCTGCCTTCAGCATGGGCTTCATCGTTGACGGGAAACTGCATCTGTGGGAGTCGGTCACTATGGTGGCCTTTTATCTCTTCTACGTCGCCTTTGTCGTCGCCTGGCACTGGTGGCTCAATTTGAGGAAGGCGCGACGAGCGAGGGCAGCCGCCATCAGGAGTCATTATGTTACCCCCGGTGGCGAAGAAGAAGAATTTCCAGAGTACCATGACGATGAAATCAGTGCTGGTAGCAGGACCCCGGGCCACGGCGTATCCATCGACGACTTTTCTATGCTCGAACGCGCTGGCGGCGACAATACCATGGACGACGATGACAACGAAGAAGAGCGCGAACGCTGGATGGGCGAGCTGACAAATAACATGCGCGTCAATCGCCCGAACATGTCCCGACGCAACACTCATACCCCCATCCGACCGAGTTTGGTCGGAGCTTTGGAGTTCAGAGCGGTACTCTCCTCCCTGCAAAAGTCGCGCAACATTCAGTCGATGCCAATCAGTTTGCGGCGGTATTCGGACGACCCTACTTATACGACTGCCCAGCAGCAAAACTACATCTCAACAGCAGGCCCAGCGGATCGGCCTCCATTTGATGTGAACCCAACTGCGTCCAATGCATCACTGCATGTGATCCGACCGAATCTCGACATCCAGCAGAGTCTAGGCAACCGAGCGCGAGCCGTTTCCACAAATGACATCGACAATGTCCGCCTACACCCGAGCACGCTGCAGGGACAAGGCGTGCCTGACATTACCTTCATATCCGCCACCCCCAATGAACCAAGCAGAATGCTGGATGCGCCTCCATCGCCGACCATCTCGTTGTCTCCGCCAGCCTCCCGCTCTTCCAGAGCACCAAGTCCTGTCGCACCGAGAGACCGACTTCCTTCCCCTAACAGGCTGGCGCCTCCGGGTCCTGAGGATCAAGCACCCCTCCGTACAATCTCACCATCACTGAGCCCTCGTTCGACTCCGCTAACAGAAAGTGATTCTCGATCCCAGCCCCCTAGTCTGAAGTTGACCGTACCGGATGCCGCTTCTCCTCCAATACCATTCCCTGCCTATACTGATTATCCTTGGTCGGCGCAATCCACTTCTAGACCCCAGAGTCTTCGTCTACCCTCGCCTAGCGCATCACCTGAGTCAAGTTTCTTCCCAAGAGATCCGTTCGGTCATATCGAAGCAGCCAAGATACCAAAATGGTGGCCTTCAGGGATCATACCAACCCCACACGTCCTGATCTCCACCCTATTCCCGACGTTGACCAGTTGGTCAGACAAGAACATATTTGACAAAATCTTGGGCCTCGTCGCAAGTCTACCCGTCTTCTTACTCACCATCACGCTCCCAGTTGTCGAGCCGCAGAAAGATGAGAACGATGGAGGCCACGCAGAGCTTTCTCTAGACTTCGGTCTACCACCCGCAGCCACGCCGCATAGCGGGAGCGGGGACTCCCACACCCGTAGCATATCACTGGTGCTGCCACCGGAAACACCTGCAAACATGGGCTTATCGAAGTCCAAATCGCCAGCGAATCTTTCTTCCCGACAACCTAATGGTGGATCGTTCAGCACGACCACCAGTCAACCACCACCGCAGGTGTATATCACGGATTCAGACACTGTAGCACAGTCACCCGAGCAGCTTCCGACGATCCCTACACCTATCGAGCCAAAACAATGGAACCGCTGGCTCGTAATCGTGCAGGTGTTTACAGCTCCCTTCTTCCTTGTCCTCGTCCTATGGGCGAACATTGAACCCGACAACCCACGTATCTTGCTTCGTCATACGCTCTACGGTTTGGTCGGTTCTCTCAGCGTTCTTGCATTCATCCTCTTCACCACCACGCCGAATCGCCCGCCGAATTGGCGCTCAGCACTTTGCTTTGTTGGGTTTGCCGTCGCCATTGCTTGGATCAGCACTATTGCCAACGAGGTCGTTGGTGTTCTGCGGACCTTGGGTGTTATCCTCAACATGTCCGACGCCATCCTCGGGTTGACTATTTTTGCGGTTGGCAACTCACTTGGTGATCTCGTCGCCGACATAACTGTTGCACGGCTCGGATTCCCCATCATGGCCCTCTCAGCCTGCTTTGGCGGCCCAATGCTGAACATCTTACTCGGCGTAGGGCTGAGCGGATGCTACATGATTATTACCAAGGGCGAGCATCGTCATGAAAAACACCCAGATCAGTCTGTCCACTTCAGGCCCTACCACATCGCCGTAAGCACGACCTTGGTAATATCAGGAGCTACTTTGCTTGCAACACTCGCTGGACTTCTTGTTGCCGTACCAGTGCGCAGGTGGAGAATGGACAAGGCTATTGGATGGGGTTTGGTCGCGTTGTGGTCACTAAGTACCACTGTTAATGTACTGGTAGAAGTGCTGGGTTACAGTAGTAACGTTAGTTAGAGCAACTATATCAGTCTTGTAGTTTCTTTTGTTACACTATACATACTAACAAGTGCGTTACTTAATGCAGCGCTATGTCTACGAATGTAAGGCAATCAAGAGGCAAGAGAAGCTTAGCAACACTTCTGTTTTATAAAAGGCTTTACAGAATATATATATTAAAAATAACTCTTTTATCTTACTTTAATAATAAAAAAGCTCTATCTTTTTAAATTTAGAGCGTTCTTAAGTACGTATTTTTAGCAAAGTCTCTGGAAATGTAAGGCGTAACTGTAGGCAATAGTGCTTGCTTCACGTTACTAAGGATAGTGGGAGATAGCTCGTATATTCAGACTACAGGTGTAGGTTGTAAAGAGAATAATCCTTGCCTCTCTCTGTAGAGCGAGGCGCGCCTTATAAGCAGGTTTAGCGCGTACTCTGTTCCCTCGAGGGACATGTACCTTAAGTCCTCGTTACAAGAAATCTACAAAGTCTAGTAGTGTACAGGTGTTGGAGTGTATGAAGACACTATCACGAGGACGTCGAAGCATCTCTTCTGTGCAGCTAAGGAGGAGAGGGGTGTACAGGTGTTGTACAGCTGTATTTGAGAGCGAAATGGCTGTAGTAGTGCCTAAGTTAGCTACTAGTATACAAGACGAAGTTTAAAAAGCAAAAGATAGCATGAAGTGTGTTGATATTGTTTAAGTGTAACAAATTGATCGATAGGATAAGGATTCTTCGATGCCCCCAGCAAGTGCACACCCAGCACGAAAGATATACTCCCTTATACTAACTAATCACTCTATGCACCGGCACAGTAGTTTTAGAAAAATTTAGTAGTTCTAGTAGAATTTTAACGTAGTTTTATAGGTGTAGTAGTTTTATAAGTTTAGTAGTTTTATAGTGTGCCGGTGCAATAAGTGCTTAGTTATTGCTGAAGAGTATATCTTTAGTGTTTCGGATGCACTTGTTGTCGACAACGAACCCTTAACAGCTATAACCTACACACTTTATGCAATCTCTGCTTTTTGAACTTTATTCTGTATACTAGCAGCCTACATAGGCACTACTACACTCCTTTAGCTTTTGAATACAACGGTACAACACCTATACATCCTTCTCACCTTGGCTGTGCTAAGGAGATGCATTGGCATCCTCGTGATAGTTGTAACGGGCTAAACGCCCTTTGGATAGCTCCTTGATGGAATCTTGGTCTACTTGTAGAATCCGGGTGCTACCTCGAGCACCCGGATTCTCCTCGGACCGCCTGAACGACGTTCAGACAACAGCCGCAGGACCTAGGGGCTGCCTCGTGCACCTAGACCTTGCCGGCCTGATTGTTACTCGGGTAACCAGCTTATATATAGTTAGCTACGTAGCTTGGGAGTTTAGCTCTCTATTGAATACAACCTCTTGTATACCTCGCGATTGCTCTACGGAGCGCAGCCTCTTACAGGGGGGAAGAATTAAGTTTTATTATTATTTTAGAATATATTAGCGCTGTAGAAACTATAGTAACTAGCTTTAAGACTACAATATCTTAAAAATCGCTTACTTAATCTAAGGAGCGTGCAGAGCGAACGTAAGTATTCCCGCTTTCACTAACAGCTATAGAAAGAAAGACTAAGAAAACATTAAACTAAGCAGAACTTGCAGATTAATCTATCCTTACGCCGTTTCCCCTCCTCAATCATCTAGTAGTAGTAAGGCTTTGCTGGGTCCGTCAAATCGAAGATAACCGCACTGTGAGGCCATGCTCCACCTCTCTCCGGAAACTGGCTTAAGAAGTCAATGCTGCGGTTGAAGCTCAAGCTACCATCTGGCAAAATATCAATCCACTGCGCCTTGAAGTCCGCCGGGGTGTTTACGATGCCGATATCGCCCGTCTGCACAAAGTAATCAGTAACAAGCAGGTTCTTCTTGTCTGGGCTGATCTTGATGTAATGCGGTCCGACGATGTCCTGGTTCTCGTCAGGGTTGTCCAGGCGCTTTACGTTGTTCAAATCACGGATGTCCAGCGCTGCGATATGATTTCCGAGCGTGAGCGTGAAGTATGCGAAGTGGCCGTCGTCGGTGATGTCGGAGTAGATGGCGAGGTTGTTGCGCGCGCGGGGACCAAGATCAAAGAGAAGTTCTGCGACGCCCTGTTTGCCCTGCGCATTCTTGCGGAAGGGGTAGATGATCCAGACCTGTCCTGGTCCGACGGCGGTAGCAAGAGCAGCGGATTCAGGATTGTTGGGGATGAACTTGACGTCCTGGATCCCAGCGCCATTCGGGATGGTAATCGTGGAGATGATCTTGCGCGAGCTGAGTTCCCAGAGGCGAAGCGTATTGGCTTTCTGGATGCCGGTAATGCTCGCGGGCTTGAGGATCGTGACGGGCACGACGAAGTCGGATGTCAAGATGATGTTGTTCTTGAAGTCGATGGACAGGCCATGCGGGCTGAACTGCTCGCCGAGGATGTTGAGGGTCGAGGGAACATCCTCGGGCCACTCGTGGATGATGTTGAACTCGGCATCAGTCTCAATGAGGCGGCCGGGAGAAGTACCGACGGCGGAGCCCATGTAGGTGATGAGAAAGCCGCCATCAGGTTTGGCTCGAATCTCATCGGTGATGGAGGAGAGTAGAGCACGGTTTGACTTCTTAAACTTGGGCTGGTATGGGTTCGTGGTGTCGAAGTAGTATGCCGTGTCCTACGGGGTATAAGTGCGTGATTACACTGGGGGTTGGACATACTTACTTGAGTCTTTAGCAGCGACAAAAGACCGCCACCGACGAGCGTCTTGCCATCGATGGACGGGCCCAAGTGATGCGGCGAGTTGCCAGAGGACGGTACGTCTGTGATAGCAATCAGAGTGCCAAATGTCTCATCGTCGAGCGAGTACGTAGCAAGGAAGTCCTTGTGCTTGTTGTCACCTGCCGCAGTCCAGAAGTATCCGATCTTCTTGGGACGGATCTGGGAGTTCACCGAGTGAGGTGGGCTCTCCAAAGGCGGAGTCGGAACTTGGAGAATGGGCAGAGGTGGAGCGTTCTCGGAAAGAGGCTCAGTGACACCAGGGATACTGGGGATCAGGGGTGGTAGCGAGATGGCACTTGCTGTGCTCGCAAGCAGCGAACCTAAAAGGGCACGAGAGAGCATGTTTTAGAGAGTATTGGTTGAGAGGATGAAGGCTGTGGAGCTGTTGAGAGATTTAGAGCAAGTTGTGAGCTGATTCCTTTGTCACGGCTACAATGACCATATTTATACTTCACTGATGTCTCTTTCGTGCACAATTCTTTTGCTCATCGCCATGCTGCCATCCCGCTACGGTCCTATCCTCATCTCTCATCTCGCCTGCGTAGATGGCACCATCCAGCCCGGCCCTGACGACGAACCTCGAATGCATCTCCAACTCACTATCTGATCGTCAGGAGAGCATACACTTTGGGTGTGGAAGCTGAGAAAGAGCACGTAGATCGTCGCTATAGGAACCATGTGAGCACGGCAGAGATAGTTGCCGTGACTAGAGAGTTGCCTGATCTGTGCTTCATATCACAGGAGCAGAATTCTATTCAGTTTTCTTTTCACTCGATGCACAGTGTTCACCAATCCTGGACGACACTACGGCCGAGAAGAAGAGGACGAGCAGGGGTTGACAAGAAGCTTCAAGATCGTCCTCGGCCCTCGACGGTTCTTGAAGCTATGCACAGGTTAACGCTCTTAGATGTTACGTTCAGAGAATTCCACTGTCCGCGGACTAGGCTAGGACAGCAAGAAGTCGACCCAGAAGAGGTACACAAACATAAAAAAAGACTGGTGTGATTCCTCAATGCACAGAAGTTGGCAATGATTCAGCATATGCATATTGACCTTCCGCAAAGATTGTATGTCTCAGCCGTCTTACACATCCTCATCAAACAATATGTATGGGTTTGGAGTACCCAGCCAAATCTCACATGAAGTCGGAGCTTCTCCCGCGGAGGACAGGGCTGACTACAACGCCAAGCCCTCTCCGCAATTCGGCGCACGAATGGTACCATTGACGCGAGCCCATTGCGGGGCAGATCTACAACATCTATACCACCACGCCAAGGATAGCGACATATCGTCCAATATTTGCGCACATTGAAGATTTGGAAAGGCTGAACCTTGTCGAGTAACGGTAAGACTTAGCACCTTACCGGTAAGTCTACCTCTTGGGGTCTCTTGGCTGCAGCGGGACGGGCTGCACTGCACGACCTACTCCAATGCGATGCGCAAACAAGGACCGAATGATCGCCCTCGCGCAATTCCTGTCCAGCAGTCGCGACATAGCTGCTTTATGGGCGAAAGTGGCTTGCATGTACGATGTGCATATCGGGATCGATGTTGGTTTGACCCAAGGAGCCGGCGTGCGGAACATATATGAGCCTCAATCTCGCAGCCTTGAGTTTCCGAGATACGCTTCGCAACTGACTTCTTGACCAACGATGAAGTTCCAGTGCCTCGCTGCCAGCGTTCTATTCGCGTCTTCTACTCTGGGCGCAGTCATCAAGCGCGAACAGTTCAGTAAAGGCCAGCCCATTGACGACAAGGGCAAAGGCGCTCCAATCTTAGGTGCGCGGAACTTTTTGTATAGATGAGCAAATCTAACAACTGATAGGAGGGACTGATCGCCAAATCGATCTCGACAACCCATCAAACTTGGGCGAACAAAGCACCGACTCGGGCACAGTGCCCAACCTCAAATGGCGCTTCGGCGACTCCAAAACGCGAATCTTTCCAGGTGGATGGGTGCGTGAGCAAGTTGACAACGACTTACCTGCAAGTCACGACATTGCCGCTGCGCAACAGCATCTTAAAAAGGGTGCGATTCGCGAGTTGCACTGGCATCGCGTGGTATGTGTCGCAATTTAATTGAGAGGTGCTATGCTGATGGTATTGTAGGCAGAATGGGGCCAGGTCCTCTTCGGTCGCGTCCTTGTCTCCGCCGTTGATGAAAATGGTCGACACCAAGTAACCGAACTTGGATTTGGCGACATCTGGTATTTCCCCAAGGGGCAGGCGCACACAGTGCAAGGCTTGGACGACGAGAACGAATATCTTCTCGCATTTGATGATGCAGATTTTGACAGAGCTGGGTAACTTTTACCTCCCCCCATCTCTGAAACGTCGCTGATAAAGTACGCAGCACAACGTTCAATCTGGCAGACTGGCTCGTCAAAACCCCGCGCGCACTCCTTGCCAAGTCTTTCGGCCTCCCCGAATCCGTCTTCGCTTCTCTCCCGTCTCCCAACCCGTATATCCAGAACGGCACCACCACAAAATACGCCAACGTGACCGGCGGCAACGGAGAACTCACTGGCGACGCGTCGTACGTGTACCGCACATTCCAACACGCGCCCGAGCCTGCGCCCGGCGGCGGCGGCCAGTGGTGGAAGATCGACAGCACGAACTTCCCGATTGCGAAGACGATTGCGTCGACGTATGTCACTATCGAGCCGAAGGGCGTGAGGGAGTTGCACTGGCATCCGACCGTAAGTTTTCAATGGAATCATGTGAGAGGGGCATAGAGCTGACTTTCCGTCCTCCAGAGCGAAGAGTGGCTGTACTTCCACTCAGGCACTGCGCGCGCCACCGTCTTCACCGGAAACAGCAACGCGCGCACGTTCGACTTCAAAGCTGGTGACACGGCCGTTTTTCCTGATAACGCCGGTAATCACCACTACGTTAACTTTTACTCCTCAAACTGATACTAACGCATCTCGCGTAGGCCATTATATTGAAAACACGTCCGCGACGCAGAATCTTACGTTCATCGAGATCTACAAATCCGACCGCGTGGCGGATGTCTCGCTCACGCAGTGGCTTGCGCTCACCCCGGCGGATATTGTGGCGAGTGTGATCAAGATTCCGGTGGACGTGGTGTTGGAATTGAAGAAGGAGAAACAGGTTATTGTGCATGGGTCGAAGTGAGAAGAATTAGATGGTGCGGGAAAGTATGCAGTAATGGTAATATTGGCTCTCGCAATGGTCACAGTAAGGTTATCCGTTCGCTGAGTCGCTGCATGTGTGGCTTTGTGAGTTAGGCGATCATAACAATTCTAACCTCTAGACACGCATGATTCGCGCATGGAAGCAGTTTAGTGTTCTAAAACATCTGGTGAGCTCATCTCTAAATGTCTGCTGGCAAGTAATATCAGTGCGTCTATCAACCAAGTAAACTAAAACACGATCCTCTTACTTGACTTGGCTGACAAGAATCCTTTACCTTGCTTGATTCGTTGACGACAAGCCCTTGCTTTGCTTAGTTTGTTGACATTGCTCGATAGGATTTCCTAATTTAATATCTATACTAACCTACAAGAGCATACTGTACGGGTTGTAGAGTGTATGAAGACACTATCACGAGGATATTAATGCATCTCCTTAGCACAGCTAAGGGGAGAAGGATGTACAGGAGTTGTACAGTTGCATTTGAAAGCTAAAGAAGTGTAGTAGTGCCTGTGTAGGCCGCTAGTATACAAGATAAAGTCTAAAAAGCAAGAATCGCATGCAGTGTGTTGATAATAGCTGTTGAGAGTTAGTTGTTAACAGCAAGTGCATCCGAAACACTAAGGATATACTCCTCGGCAATAAATAAGCACTTATTGCACCAGCACACTATAACAAAGAAAGAT